ACATCCAAAGCCAATAAAAAAATCAGTAAAACATCGAAAATATCGACAACGCCCAGCCAGCTTAATAATTGTCAGGCTGATTTCAGTGCGGAAAGTGATAGCCTAGTGTATCCCTGGAAAAAGGATTTCAGCGCTCAACTGCAAGTACTAAACCGAAAAGTAGTTCTCGACGGGCAGCTGGGTAGATAAACTTTAAAAACCACTTCACTCGCTCTGAAAATAAAGAAAAAGGTTGGTAAATGGTTGAAAACAGCAATTATCTGCCTTAGTTTCAAGCGAGATGCAGTTCTAAGCGGACAGATAATCGGGCATATTCTGGAAGCTAGATAAGAATATGAAGCGCTGAGATGGATGGGATGAGGATAAGAGGAATGGGAGGGAAGATGAGCTTTGGCTGAGGCCTCGGAAGGGAGAAGCTTCGCTTCCTCTCTAATGATAGCATGACAACCTGTATCTACGTCTCTAAATGAACCCCTGAGAAGCCGCCAATTTCACGTCTCATGGCATCCAATGAAGCTATAATGATACGAAATGGCAGCCAGTTTACCGGAGGTAACTGATCATAAATACCGATTGAGTAAGATTATATCGAGAATTAAAAGGCGCTACCATAAATGGCGGTCAAGTTGCCCGAAAATGAGTCGTTTCGCAATATCGGGGGAACTGAATTTTTGTCCAGCCTAGCAATGCCTAATAACGTACTAGGAACTATTCTGTTAGTGTTTTTAGCAGAATTAACTAAATTCCAGCCAGAAAACTCTACAAAACCTCATAAAGGCGACATTTTGGCCATAAATCGGTCATCCTTAGTCGAGAAATAGATATTTTTGCAGTTTTTAATAAAAATTGTAAACTTTTAGGCTTAGCAATTATAAAAACAGCTTAGAAACACTGCCGCCACGTAAATTTCAAAATTAGACTCTTAGAAAAGCATCACAAGTCTTACTTTTTGACCTGACGATCGGTTAAATTTCGGCCAAACGAATCTAAATACTGATTTCGCCTATGAAAAAGTCAACATAACATAAAAACCTTTGAAAAGGTGAAACTGCAGAATTGAGCACCATCACTCCCTCCGTCCCCTCTCCTAACTGGGTGGAATCGTGAAATTCGACCCGTCGACGCGCAATATTTATCCGACGCCCCACAAACCCCTTCCAAACCACTTTACTCGCTAAATCGAACGATAGCTAAGTTGGAAAAAGGCAAAAACCATCTAAAAGTTGTCAAAAAACTGAAGTAAAAGTCAAAACGTTAAAAAATAGCTTTATTCTTAGTTTTGCAGCTCGTTCAACTCGATTCTCACGATCGGAAGATGTCGTTGAATGCGCAGAAACCGTTCTTCTAGAAACCCTCCCAAGAAATGCGTCGATTTTAGAGGATTCTGTTCAGTTTTTTGATTTTTAGATCCTTTAACTTTTTTTTTTGATGAAAAGCCCTTGTCAAACTCATTTCATCTAAAACTTCGAGTAGTTCCTTCGAAAAACTTTATTTTAACACCGAAAATAACGCTTTCTCGAAAATAAAGTCGATGAAAACGATTCACGAGGCCGTTTGACGCCAAATGACGATCGTTGTTTTATTCCGTCACACTCCGCTGCGGAATTCCGGTGGTCGGCGTGCTAAATTGTACAAATTTCCGGTTTTAAAAACTTTTTTCGTGTTTTCTATATTTTTCCACTTATGTTTTCTTTTTTCATCTGGTTATATGTGTAATTTAGATCGTGATGTGCGTAGACGAAAATGATGGAATCCCTTGGGCCACCTTGGAAGGGTGCCGCGAACTTTGCGGCGCGTACTTTTGCGGCGCGAACTTTGCGGCGCGAATTTTGCGGCTGCGAACTTTGCGGCGCGAATTTTGCGGCGCGAACCTTGCGGCCGAAGATTGCGGCGCGAATTTTGCGGCGCGAACATTGCGGCCGAATTTTGCGGCGCGATGCTTAGGCACAGGCCTTTGGTTATTTTGCACACACGCACGCACTGCATCCGAATTTCGTCATAGAAACGTTACAAGACCGTTTTGCGACAGGAGTCACTCGATTTGGGGGAAATTAATCGCTTTTGCTTTCGCTCTGCGACTAGAAAAAGGCTTCGTGCCACCCGGGGCCTAGTCGCTTCGGATGGGTACGAGCTCGTACAGGGTTTCGAAATCGGGGCGCCCGAGCAGCGCGAAGCGCCCAGGCGCCTCGATTTCGAAAGAGTGGAGCGGCAGCCCATCCGAAGCGACGGCCCACCTTTATGACGCCCCCAAGAGGTCTCTTGTCACGGCATTGCGTAAAGTTGCAGTGAATTTGTATGGAATTACATATATAACCATTACAAAAACAAAACTGGCGGTGATTCTGATTCCTAATTTCTGAAATTCCTCTGAAATCTGATCCTGAACTCAAAACAAATTCCTGGAAATTTAAATGATTTCCATTAATATTTGTTGCGCCGCAAAAATTCCGGCCGCAAAATCCGCGCCGCAAAAGTTCGCGCCGCAAAGTGCGCGCCGCAAAATTCGGCCGCAATGTTCGCGCCGCAAAGTTCGCGCCGCAAAATTCGCGCCGCAAAGTTCGCGCCGCAAAAGTGATCGCCGCAAAGTTCGCGGAGCCCTTGGAAGAATACTCATATCCTAGCCCTTTTTCACAGGTATTTGATTTTTGTCTTAGAAAATATAGTTTATTATTTTCAGGAAGAGAACACCGAAGTCGCGGCAGAAGAACAACGGCAAGGTCAGAGGGTTGGCGAGCTGAGCGAGGAGGACGATAGAATGATCACCGAGCCCGAGCAGCCCTTCATTGCTGCTCACACCCACCCGCCCGTGGTAATTTTCAATTTTTACTTTTGGTTCTTTCGAACGTTATCGGGGACCAGCTTTTTCTAATCAAATAGCTGGCGTGTTTCTACTAGTATTTTATTGATACTAAACGTAATAACTGTTCAATTTTGATAAAAAAGACAAAATTATCGATTTTTCGATTAAAAAATGGCCGATTTGCCCAAAATATCGATTCTAAGGTTTTCTTAAGTTTTTAGATAGTTTTTCTAGTAACATGTGGAAGCAATAATTTTTGCTAAAAACAAATTGGTTCGATATTGTATGTATTTTTGATCAAAAAGTTTTTACGTTTAGAAATATAAAATACAGTCTAGAAACAGTTGCGCTATTTAAATTAGTAAATTGGATCCTTAGAAAAAGATTGGTCCCTTCCTACGATAACGCAAAAGAAAACTTAAAATATATATAAATCTATACAGTGTGTCGAATTGGACGACGAAGTGCCATGGGCTTCATCACAGGACTATCAACTCAGCCCCTTCTCGGAGGTATCACTTTTCCTACTTTTACCTTTTTGAAATGATAGTGTGCGGAATTTTGCGCTAATTCCGATCAGATAAACGCAATTATAAAGCTTGAGTGGTAAAATTTCGCCAAAATTGTGAATTTTGACGTTTTTCACAGAGAAAAGCGTCATAAAAGCTTCTCAAAACAAATTAGAAATCAGCGCAAATTTCTGCAAAAGAATTCCATTAAGAGTCTCTTCTTGTAAGACAATTATTTCTTTGTTTTCAGGATGAAAATACGGAAGTCGTGGAAAGAGAGAACGAGGAGGAAGATCTCTTGACTGAGGATGCCACCAGCGAGGAGGATCTATTTCCGGACGTCGTTTCTCGCCCGATGAAGGTATTTCTTCTTTTGAAACCTCGAAAAAATATAAATATAGTCAGTCTTGTCTGTGGAGATGGATGACGATGTGCCATGGGCGACAGAAGAAGAATACTGTCAACCCAGCCCATTCTCTCAGGTATCATATTTTCCTGATTTTTCGCTTTTTTAGTGATGTTGGACAGAATTTTGCGCTGATGCCGATCAGATTAACGCAGTCATGAATCTTTTAAAATGTGAAAATTACGCGAAATGCTGAATTTTGCAGTTTTTTTGCTCGGAAATGCTTCAAAACAGCTTTGAAAGAAGATTCGGAGTCAAAGCAAAATTCGGCACAAGAATTCCGATAAAAATTGCGGCTTGTAAGACAATTATTTATTTATTTTCAGGATGAAAATACGGAGGATGTGCGAGGAGACCAAGAAGAACAACAAGCCGCAATTCCAACCCCCGCTGCCCCACTCGTCCCCAAGCCAGAACCTATCGAGTTGGGCGAGGCGCACGAGAGGCTGGCAATGGATCAAGAGCCGCCCTTCCAACAAGTCTTCCGGCCAGAAATGGTAATTATCATTTTTAAATTTAGGATCTTTCGCATTATCAGGGACCACCTTTTTTCCTAAAAGTCCAGAAATTGCTAGTAAATTAATAGGAAGTGTGTTTTTGATAAGTTTTTGGTAAATTTAACTATATAAAATCCGAAAAACCAATCAAAAAGTCTATAACAGGCTTTTTTGATAAATTTTGGCTGAAATTGCCATTTTTGCAGCTTTTTATCAAAATTAGTGCATTTTTCACGTTTAGGGAATAGTAAAAACCGTTTAGAAACACTTCCGCGACCTAATTTAGAACTTTAAACTTAGCTCTTTCAAGTTATCGGGGAGCAACGTTTTTCTTTAAATCCAGAAATACCTATTAACATACTATTAAGTATTTTAATAGTGTTTTTAGTAAATGTAACTATATTTGAACTCAAAACCCATCTAAAAAACTTAGAGAAAATTTCTGAAAAGTCGAAAATTTGACCGAAACCGGTATTTTTGGTCAGAGAAATCGCTATTTTTTGTATTTTTATTAAGACTTTGTAAAGTTTTTATGTTTAGGAATAATAAAAAAACATTTGAGAAAAACTTCCGGTGTTTATATTTGAAAAATAAGGTCCTTAGAAGAAGTTGGTCCCCCGATAATGCGAAAGAACCCCGTTTTAAATTTATAATATAAAAACTATGCAAATAATCCGCTAATTCCCGATTTTAATGTTAAATATCTAATCTCTAATTCTAGATGGGCCTGTTTGTCGATCTGGAAGACGGCGTCCCGTGGGCATCTCCAGAAGAATACCACATACCCGGCCCCTTTTCCCAGGTATTTTATCTCGTATAATTGCCATTTCTTTTTCAGGAAGTGAAGAGGGAACGTGAAGAGGTTCCAGAAGAACAAGCGGAAGAACAGCCGCGTCGACAAGTCCCAGCCCCCGTGGCCCCACTGATCCCCAAGCGAGAAGTCATCGAGCTCAGCGAGGAGGATACCATCCCCTATATCTACGAGGGAAAAGAGGAAAATCCCTGGCTTGCAACCCCGCCGGTAATTTAATTTTATACCTAAAACACGTCAATAGTGCTTTGAAATAACCTATCACTTCAAATTTCTGAAATTTTGGAAATTTGTGAATTTTTTAGGCCAAACATGGACGAAATGGCCAAAGGGTCAAAATTATCACCTTTCCAAAAATCTCGAAAATTTTCCGGTATTTTTATTATCTGTAGCTGCTAAATTCTAGTAGCTAACTTTGTATCTGACTAAATTACTTTTTTTATTTTCAGGAAGAAGCACCCACCGACAGCCAACCCCAGCCTGCGCTCGATTCCCCCGATTCTCTCCCCCTAATATATGCTGAGAAATGGGACAATTCGAGGCCGATCATCAGATGTAATTTCCAATTTTTAGCCGTTTTTTATTAACAGATGCGATAAATTTTTTGTTGATTTTCCTGTAATCCCGAATTCAAATTGTCGGGGTCCCACCGACGATTCCCCTGCCGTGCAAGGGCATATCCAGTCGCAACAGCATCCCAGAGGGAGTCAGAGCCTTTGGAAAAGGCCCCTGCAGTCCTCTCAAATTACAAAAAATGGGGGAATATTATTTTTTGCTTTTAAAATATGATCAGCCCGGTGTTCTCTCCGTTTGTGATGGATGGGGTTGACGCCAAAGCCAGGCGTTCAAAGGAAGGCCCCAGCAATGGCTGTCATGCGAAGGAAGCAGAACAAACCGCCGCCGATGGGACAGAATTGAGGTGTGTGATGCCATTTGCAAAGGGTTTTTAGATTAATTGGAGGGTGGAGATCAAGTTATTCAAATCTGGATGTGGTAATATTTCAGATTTAGAGCCAAAAGCTCAATTCTTCACGATTTTTAGCCCGAAAGCCTTGATTATTTTCATTTGGGGCTTAAAATTGTATTAGGTTTACTATTTTCAGTTTTTTTCGGTTGATGCGATGGCGAGAAACACAGGTTCTTGTGTATTCCAGGGGGAAAGAATTCGCGGGGGGGGAACTGAACTTTTTGGCCAAGCCTCAGATTTATTATATAAATAGTGGAAGTGTTTCTAAATTGTTTAGGATTATTCCTAACATAAAAACTTTTACAAATTTAATGTAAAAATTTAATTTTAGGTCGAAAGTCGATTTTTCGGTCCAAAATATGACCAAATTTTCGACTTTTCAAGCGTTTTTTTCAACTTTTTAAAAGTTTTTCCGATTCAAATAGGGCTTAGAATTTCGCTAAAAACAATGTAAAAACACTTTATATTTGATTACTATCCCCACCAGGCCCGACAAAAAAAAGTTCAGTTCCCCCCGCAGATTCTTTCCCCCGGGAATACACAAGTACCGAAACAAAATATGAACCTTTGGGTGTTAAAAATCATGTAAATTTACTAGAAAACTTCAAAACGCCTCATTTTTAAGCCAAAGACATTAGCTGCCGTTACTTTCAGCTGTAAAACTGCCATTGTTTTGGCTCTAGCTTTTTGTGATTTATGGGAGCGCTAAAAAGAAAATATTCGTCTTTTCGGTGCGGAAAATGCATGCAAATTTCTGGTGAAACCCGGGAATTTCGTAATTTAATCACCAAAAATTCAGCTATGACTTTAAAAGTTTTAAAGCATTTAAAA